CATAAGCCACAAGAGGATGCCACGCACCTTTTAAAGAAAATAATAAGGCTTTTGATGATCAATATGTAGAAGAAGTTAACTATGTTCTCTTCTCCAGTGACCTAGGGGCTTTCTGTCTAGTGGTTCCATTTTAATAACACCAAATTACACAAATAACACAAGGTGACCAGTGTTTTGAGAATTATCAATGAAAGATAAGCAAAGAGAATCTCACTATGTTTCACAACTACATCTCTAACTAATACAGGTAACTTTGTCAGAAGCCCATATAAATAATTCAAAACTCAGGACAAGCTTATTCTGGACCAAAGCAATGGCTTCTTATGTGTCCCACATTTTGCAAAAGGCTCCCCTATCTGAAAGATCTTCTCTGGCCTCCAGGGAAAATATCACTCTCCCTGCATCCCCCTCTAACTACAATCATCACTCTGGGTATTGGTGCCACTCTCTCCATGACCTGGTAAGGTCAGATAGGAATCTTCCCCACTTTTGCATACCAGAACGTGGCAAAGGGGCTGGCACGTAACACATTCCCAGTAAGTGTTAGCTTGGCAGCTTCATGTTTCCAAAACACTAATTACACTGTTTAAAAATTCAGATGAGTATAAAGAAGATGTGCTTAGGCCAATGTGCAAACACAAACACCTAGCTATCTTTGCCCAGGACTTGCTCCCCTTCTCTCCAGGATCTGTACCGTGCAGCTGGGACAGCCAACAGCATCACAAAATAGCTGCAGGGACAGACCCCGGGATCCCTGCTCTACATTCACCATCCCTGCTCCTCTCTGAAAGCTGGCTGGTTGTTTTCTATCAGAAGAAAATCCTTTTCACTAAGCTAACAGGAAATGACTCATGGTAGTCTCCAAAAAAGTCCAGAAAGAGACAGTATTAATCTCTCTGGGCCAATCAGCAAGGGACTCCATGTTCCTATTTGAGATTTATGCTTATTGAGACCTGCTGATCATAGGGACATAAGATCATAGGTTTGACAACTCATGCTAAAGGACACCAACTCTGTGATGGGGTTCAGGAGACAAAGTGACAAGCAATTCCTGTTACCAGAGTAAGGGAGTGGAAATTTGTGCTGGAGAGAAAAAAGCAATAGTTTTCCTAATCTACTAACATAGGAGTCATTTATCTGCCTTTATATCCATAAGTTACTTTAAACAATGCAAGAAATACAACACAGGACATTGCATAATCATAAAAATCTATTATACTGCCTCCTGGTTAGTCAAAATGAATGAGAGGCTGAAACTTTATAATTATGACAGCACATGCCAAGAATAAGTGACATGTGTCCTCATACACTCAGTTAAAACAAAGTGCATCGTAGGAACACCTTATTGTCATTTTGTGGCAATTTGACAACAGAAAAACTCTTGGTCAAGACCCAAGACACTGGTTATGACTCACTTGTTCAAACTCAATCAGCCACAAGGTCACTCATATCATCATGACATAAGGATATCATTTAAAAAAATATATTATACACTTCCCAATGGTAGAGCTGTTGTCAACTGAACAATCAGCCACAAGGTCACTCATATCATCATGACATAAAGATATCATTTAAAGATATCATACACTTCCCAATGGTAGAGCTGTTGTCAACAAGGTTACTTGGAGTGGTGTATTAAAATCCTGTCTACTCCTACAGAGGAAGGGAATGTGCCAGCAGCCCCTGTGTACAACTGAAGTTGATGGGAAAGTGACAGTGAAGCTACTCTCAGATGAATACGCAGACAACACATTAACTTACAAAGGCTCAGGTGTGCCACATTTCTTCCTTCTGGTTTAGACTACTGGAAACCTTTGCATAAGAAGCGGTTGAACTGCAGAAGGAGGCTAAGGAGCTTGAACCTCTGTAGGCCTCTCTGAATTTGTATGCATCCCTTCACTCCAGGGACAGAGAGAGAGTCAACCACAGTAGTAAATACCTCCATTGCTACAATCGCAGCTAGAGTAAATGATGTTTAAGACAGTTTCTGATGTTCCATGAACTGTTTGTGTACTGACAATATTATAAGGTTGGGCTAAGAGTTTATCTAATTCTCTGCTTGAGGAACAAATAAAATTATTCTAGGTTTCATGAAAGTGTGGATAATTTACCATGTACCTGGAGAGGCCCATGAGCAAAATGGACAAAAGAAAAAAATAAAAACCTCCTTTGTAGAACTCACTTTCTAGATTGAGAGGCATACAATAAACGTTATCAAATGTATAAACACTTCGGATGGAAGTGAGGGATAGAGAGACAGAGCAGAGGGGCTGGTGAAGATGAAATGGAAGGTGAATCGTCCTCTGGATTGCCTATATGGTGGCAATCTTTTTGCTATTGGTAAAACCCACCTCTTGGCAGTAAAGAAGAGGATGGTATGATGGGAACAGAAAGAGAGAGCCTCAGAAAGAACAGCAAGGGATTCATGCTTGGCTCATAGCTTTGCACATCTTACAGACCCAAGGTTAGGCAATGATGTTCATTAAACTTGCTTGATGCTAATTCAAAAGACAGTATGTTGAAGGTTGTGTCGAGTACATATTTGCCTTCATTTTGCATATTAAAATGTTCACATTGTAGTCCTGCTTTCGTCATCTATTGATTGAACACATCTGTGTACTCTGGAAGAACAGCAAGGGCAAGACACACAAAATATCTGTCCCAGTGAGTCTTGTACCCTAATGAAGGAGCAAAGAAAATTCACTCATAAACCAAATGACAGTGTCATGGAGCTGAGAGGGCACTAGATAATCCAGAGCTCACACAGCTCTCAGACCAGTCAAGATAAATCTCTGACCACCCGCAGTCACTTATAAATCCCTGTCTGAGAGAGCGTTGGGGGTAATAAAGAGCTATGAAAATCCAGGTATGGCTACTGGCTCTTTCTAAAATGTTGATGGGGGTGTGGGGAAACAGCTTCCTTTCTCTTGATGACAGTCTGCTATGTGGACAAATCCACACAGTCCCAGTCTCTCAGGGATTTCCATGGTGTAGATTGTAAGGTATTATCCAGAGTTGTGTAAATGAGTATATGCTTTGGTTGCAAGGGTCTTATCAGAAACTGCCGCTTTGTTGAAATAAATAAATAGGCACATAAATAAGTAAATAAATGTGTAGTATGAGTGGTAATAGAACCAGTATAGTGGGTTTTTAAGTACATTATAGCAATAAATACCCTTCAAACTGTAAAATGGGACTAAGGGTTTAGAGGGTTGCTGTTGAGTGAAAGGGCCTCTTCAGGAAAGCATCAGAAAAGGCACACTTGGGTAAAGAATCAATTCACACCTTCTAAGGCACCCTGAGGCCTGGGCAGATTCAAAAGACTAGGAAATCCAGCTACGGCTACATACATCACACAGCAACACTTTGAGGAGTGAAAGCTCTCAGATAGGAAACTGAGAAAGCTAGAAGACAGTGTGGTGTAAAGCTAAACGCTTCTCACACAAATTCCCACCTGAGCTATGTTGATCTGCCCAAATGCTATCCCTAGCCTCAATGGCTTTCTGGGATGGCTTTAGCTCATAAAGCAGCTAGAGAAACAGTTCTGGAGAAGTGGGCACGAGTCCCTCTGACTGGAAAGGCAAAAACACCAGCCTAACACAGCTTTCCCTGGGCACACCTCAGTCTCAGGTTTTGTGGACACAACAAACATTCTGTGTGTGGCACAGTATGACAAGTTTATCACTCAGGGCACTGAACATGAGCTTCCTGTAAACACAGCTTTGAAAAGGGCTTCCACATAAGTCACCTAAGCTGACAAAAAAAAAAGTCTGCCAGCCAGGGACCAGCTATCCAGGTAAGCTTACAGCATTCACTCATATTGGCTACACAAGTCAAAAAAACAAATTCCTTGGTATGTTGTCCTACAAAATCAGCTTGCTTCCATTCCAAGTAGAATGCTTGTTATGAAGTATACCCCTGGATAGGGACCCTTTGAAGAAATGAAGACAACTGTATTGCCTCCCCTTGGCAATTCTGAGTATCCTGTCAGGATTGTTGTCTCTCCTAAGCTGAACTCAGATCAGTACCTTCTTGATTGGTTTAGTTCTGCTTCTTGAATGTGTATGCAGGCTCTCAAATGCAGTAACGGCAGACACCTGGCTAGAAGCTGCGTTCTCCCACTGTCCTTGTAAGTTCGGAAAACCCACAACGGTTTTTAAAATCATACCAGATCACTGAAAGTCACACACCTGATACAATAAGCAACTCAATGGGAGCTATGTGACAGCTGAGGAGTGATGGATCCCTGCGGCTCCAGCTAAAATGACCAGCCTCACTCCTTGTTAATTAATGTTTAGAGGAAAGGAAAGCATAGTCACCTCTGTCCTCCGCAACTAAACCAGAAACGTGCAGTGAGGAGACTGAAGTGCAGAGCTCACTCTGTATATGCCCAGGTAGAACTCTGGACACTGGGTTAAGAATAAACACCCCTTTATGCTGTTCCAATGCACACCTGATGGGCACTTTCTCCCGGATAGCACACCCATCTCATAAACGTATTCCGCCAGGAAGATCCCTAAGAATATATCAGACCCAAGAGCTCACCATGGGTTAACTAGGGAGAGGGCCAAGGGAATTATCAACTAGAGTGCATGTTGAACCTGAACAGTTACTAAGACATTAGATGATCCACCAACATGCTGGCAAGCAGTCTGCAAAGAAAATTTCTAATTAAAAGTCCCTCACTAAAGTCCCCAAACTTTCCTCCCTGGGCGAATGGACCAGAAACACCTACTCTCTATTTGCACCACAAGTGTCTACTCTTGAGGGTATGGCCCTGCCCCTTCCCAAAGAAAACATGACTTAGTGGCAGCATAGCACTAGGACTGAAAAGCAACCCTCCGTGCCTTAGAAGGCATGATCCTTGACTGCAGTTGTGGAACTTCTGCTCAGTTCAAGGGGGTGTGCAATAGGAGTAAGAAGTGGCCACTCACTAAGGACATGCAGTAAAATGGGGGGGGGGGAGAGGGAGAGAGGGCAAAGGGAGTCAGTTTACTTACAGTCCACGGAGCCGAAGCCAGATTTTCTCAATCTGCTCAGGTTGCAGGTGTTTCAGAGAGTTGCTCTCAAATTCTTCAATCTCCTTGGTTGGAGACTCCATAGCTGCAGGTTCTCACTTGGGGTGAGGTGGAGAGAGTTTCTATAGTTCCTTCCCAGCCTCCTCTTCTCTCTGGGTCCAGCCCAGGGAGTCTTTCAGTCACTTTGTCACTTCCCCTGCAGAGTCCCCTGAGATGGTTCAGAGAGGGCTAGGATCACAGGGGACTCCGGCCCCAGGTGCTCCCTGGAGGCAGCTGTGAAAACCAGCCATGATGCCCTACTACTGCCAGGGACAGGGGGATAGCCACTGTGCTGTGCGTTGGTCCCGGAGAAAGCACCTCGGTTCTTTATACCCTTAAACAAAGCCACGGAAGCTCCCGGCGGCCACGGCAGGATTCGGAGGCAAAGGGAGAGCTGGGTGGTAAGGGAGGGGGAGAAAGTGAGGAGCTGGGTGGAGCAGGCTGAGCCTGAGCTGCAGGATGAGCCATGGAGAGGTTCAGACCCCTACTCTGCTCCACCCTGTGCCCAGCCTGCCCCGCCTTAGTGCCCCTCTGTCGCCCCTCACCAGCCAGTCCTGCTGACAAGCAAGAACTGACAAGTGAGAAAAGTCGTCTGTCAGAGCAGAGCTAGAGCGACAGGGCTGGCACCCCTTGTGAGGAGGGAGGGGACACCACGATTAGCAGGGCAGGAACTCCACACCTGCCCCCCCCGCACTCCCCCCGCAGGCAGCCCCAAGCCACCCAGCCCTATGCCCTGCAATGATGGCTGCCCAGCCACAGAGCATAAACGCTCTGAGCTCCAAGGAAGCTAAGTCTGGGGCTGGCTTCTTAGCACAAAGCCCTGGTGTTTTCTTACTAATGGGATTGATTCATATTCATAGTCTCTCTCTCTCTCTCTCTCTCTCTCTCTCTCTCTCTCTCTCTCTCTCTCTCTCTCTCTCTCTCTCTCTCTCTCTCTCTCTCTCTCCTCTTCTCTTCTCTCCCTCCTTCTCTCCCTCTCTGTCTCCATCAAAAACACAAATATTACAACAGAAGTTTCTCAAATAATGCCACACGCCTCCTAGGCGTCTCTGCTGGGCGCTGGCTCGGCAGCTGTTGACTTTGGCAGTCTGTCAGCTCCACGCAGCTGCACCACACTGCTAGATGGTCCCCTTGGTCATGCACAATGTCAATAACATAATTGCCCAGCAGAATAGGACCAGGTTGGAAGGCACAAAGAGCCTAGGGTTAGGGATCAACTTAAAGGTGAGGGCGACTTTGTATTGGTCAAGTAAAGTTCCATTCATGAGACATTGGCAAAGGAATAAAATGATGGTATCTACTGTCTCTTTGCTCCATCCATTTAGTAATTAGCAGTCATTTTTCAGTCATTGTCCATATACTCTAGCAAAGATACCTAGCTAGATCAAAAAAAAAAAGCTTGTCTCCCTCACTTGTCACAGATTCAAAAATCAATCTATTAGTTCATCCTTTAAGGTATTCAGGAAGTGCATCTTCACTGAGTTACAGTGTTATTACTAGGCAAAGATAACATTAAACAGCTGCTGTATATACATGTAGAGGCCACTTACCTAAAAAACTTACTCAAATTCACCCAACTGAGAACAGTGACTTGGGAAATGATATGCCAAAAGGGGAAATACTTTGGCAACTTGTGGCTAGGAGACGGAAGTGTGGTCCTCAAATAAGGTATATCCATTAGTTCATGTGCCTTATAGTGGCTGGCTATCCAAATGCAGATAAGTTGTAACCAGTACGAGCACTGCCCTAAGTACTGGAAATTTCCTCTTGTCCAAGTGCTGTGCTAAGTACTGGAAACTTCCTCCAGTCCAAGCGCTGTGCTAAGAGCTCTTTGCTCACACAACAGCTCTGTGGGTCAATTATTCTCACCCCTCTATAATAAGAAAATGGAAATAGCAGGAAGTTACCTGCTAGTAAGAGAACCAAACAACCAGAATTGGATTTGATCATTGTCTCATCCTCACAAATGTGTCTCTGTCACAAGATCAAATTTTCTGCATGCTCAAAGAGATAAATTTAAGCACAAAGATTTCGTATGTCCCTTCCATCTGTACAATCCTTTGAAATCATGTAAAGGGTTTTGGAGAAAGGAAGGCAGATATTAATGGGTTTGATTAGGTCAATGAAAGCCAATTTTAGAAGGAAAATAAACATGCTTTCATTACAATCTAGTAATGAATGGGAGAGAAGACAAGAAAAAACTTACTAAAAAGCTTCCAAGACAAGTTTTTGTGTCATGTTAGATATTGTCAAAACTGCATGAAAATTGATAGTTGATAAAATACATTTGCTTTATTTTAGGTCAATGATAATTTTCAAAAATGGAAGTGTCCTGAAAGATAATTTAATTTCATTTTCTCAAAATTTTTAACCAATAGAGTCTTTCAAATAATATCCATCTTATAAGAGATTCCAATGTATTCCTTCACTTGAAAGCATGAAGATGGGGCTGTTCTGGTTGTCTGGGTGCAAGGAGTCCTTAGTTCTTGGGGACTCTGTTCACTGTCTCTCTTGTTTCTCGGCTTGCTACCTGGCCTACCACTTCACAGAAGTGAACAACTGGAGCCAGTTTGCCATAAAGGAACTCAGGCGCCCTTGCCTCCTAGCCCCTCATCAAGTTCTCTCTAACCTTAGCTCACATTTTCTGTGGCTTGTTTAGCCAACGAAAAGACAGGATGCTGGACAGTTGCAGTAGCATTGTGAATCACAATTGCTAGTGGCATTCCATTTGGAAGTAAGCAAATAAGTAAACACAAATTGACCCAGAAACAGAGGTTTAGAAGCCATAATGCTGCCCACAACTTTACACTGGAGGCTAACTTCTAAAGAGACTTCTCACTCGACTTTAGTCAGACTCTAGAAAACTCTCACATAAGCAAAGATTACTAAATACGCTCACACAAGCATCCATGTACAAACATATATGAATGCACATCATACACATGCACACCTATATACATGCAGACAGCCAACAACTTACAGCACCCCCTCCTTAGTATCCATGTAGCAATCTAGTCCAAGTACTCTCAACATTTTCACTAACAACATAGAGTACCATAAAATATTAACACTTCCAAACTTTTTTGTTCCAAGCAGAGTTCAAAGACAGCTTGGATGATTTTTGTCAGATAGGAAGCCAAACTTTCGTGGACAAACAGGAATGGACTCTAAGATTTGGTAACCCTGAGCACAGTACCATTTGCCAAGCAGCTGCTGGCCAAGCATGTCACAGGTTGGTTCACATGCTCATTAAAACATACTTCCATATAAAATTAAAACCGCATTGAGATTCCATCTCAGTCTGTTGGGATGACAACAATTAAGAAAATAATTAAAACAACGGAATGCAGGGAAGAAGAGAAAAAAGGACCCTAAAATATGACCACCAGGGAACTCAGTACGGAGGTCCCTCACAAAGAAATGCTCCATGAGCCAACTGGAACATTTCTCACCGTTTACCTGAAAGACTGAAGTCAGCACGTCACACAGATTCTTGTACATCTTTTCACTGCAGCGCTATCCATAGGAGCTAAGTATATGACCAACCTAAGTGTCTGTCCGCAGAGGAACAGATGAAGAAAATTGTGAGATACATACACAATAGAATGCCACCTGCAGGAAAATGGATGTAGTAACTGGAGATTATCACTAAACAAATTAAGTAAGACTCACAAAGACAAAAAATGTGTCTCATTTGCAGATGACAGATTTCATATAGAAACAGCATTTTTGTATGTAAGTGTAAAATGGAAGGGAAAACAAAACTGTCAAGAGGGAATGAAGTGGACTAATAAGAGGGTTAGAGGAAGAATGGGGTGAGAAGGAGCATGGACAACTGTAATGTGAAACCTGGCAATGTTCTCAGGAAACTCAGCAGTGTGTACAATGAATACAAGTCAACAAAATACTTCTGCATGGCTTTGTTATGCCCACTGGTACCAGAGAGGTGTCAACGTTGCCTGAAAGATGGAAGCCAAGAATGTGGAGACCTGGACCAGAAGGCCAAGCCCATGCTCTATTCTCTACCTCCCTGGGGACAAAGCAAGGGACTAGTGGAAAGATGCACGGCAGAGAATTCAGGGCTGCTGCAGGACCACGAATAAGAGGGATCTTAACACTGTGGGGAGAACAGAGAGATGCTGGGAGCGGGTGACATTTGAACTGGATCTTGAATGTAGATACATAAAAGATGTTTTCATGGAAGGTGGTTGAAGGCAGATGATTCCATAGAGAGATTAGGTGTGAGTATCTGTACATGTAACTAGGGACACTAGCATAAAATGTTGGAAGCGGTCTGTCAGCCACTTGTAGTCAAGATGTTTGGAGGACTTGAGAAACCGAGGAACTTCCACAGCTTCTGCAATGGCCTCAGAGTAAATGGTAGCGAAAGAGGCATCCATCAACGAGTTAGAAACAAGATCCTCAGTTAATGGTCATTCATGAAAACACACACATACAAGTGTCATTATACAGTCTGAGCAGCCTATAGTTAGGGGTGTGTGTGGGGGATGTGGGGGGGTGTGTGGGTGTGTATGTATGTACATACATGCATGTAACAGCAATTAATGAATACAGAGACCATAAACTTGAAAACGTGCAAGGAGGGGTATATGGAAGGGTTTGGAGGGAGGAAAGGGAAGGGAGAAATTATGAAATTGAATTATAATCTCAAAACAAAGGGAAAATTACATAAACAAATGTCAAAAGGGAGGAAAGAAGAGCGAGACAAACAGTTTCAGACCCAAGTCGAAAGGGCTACCTCCCATGAGCAACAACTGCCAGCTACAAAGATTGTGCCTGCTTGCTTAGACATCCCGAAGCCAGACTGTGTCCTTGACCCATTTTCACAATTAGCCAGTGACTTTACCAAGAGTGCTGAGGAGAAAATCCTAAAGACATTTAGACTGTGGGAGTGACAGCAGGCCTAGATAGCAACAGCCCTCCTTCCGACTCACACCAGATGTGAGCTCATTCCAGAGGCTCTTCTCTCCAGTGCTTCCCAGGAACTGCTATCACTACACAAAGAGGCGGAGAGCTGCTTCCCCTAACCTCGCCCTCATCTGAAATGCAGCTCTGAACAGCTATCACCACAGCCACAGACCTTGAGAGTGGCCCAGACCATCTGGGAACAGAGACAGGGTTGGGTCTATGGGGCGGAGATGGACAGGTAGGTAGAGTGCTTCCCTGCAAGCATTAAGATGTGAGTGTGAATCCCCAACATCCATGTTTAAAAGAAAAGGAGAAGGACAGGTGAAGCATTGTGTGCTCATAATCGCAGCACTGGAGGAGGAAGACCCCCACCTCCAGGTTAAGGTGGAGAAGCAACTGAGTAACAAACCCAACACCAATACCTCACACACACACACACACACACACACACACACACACATGCACACATGCACACGTGTGCACACACACAAAGAAAATCACTCTGAGGCTGTGCTCAAATAACTCCATGCCACTTCATGTGTGATGTTAGTAACCATTAGGGGTCAAATATATCCCAATTCTTTCCTCTTGTCCTTACAAAAAAAAGCAGTGAAGTGATGAAGCGTAGCGTGTGACCCACATGTTTTCCCTTCTCTGACAAGAGCT